CCCTGCCGCTCCGCGGCGGCACCCTCCATGTGAGCGCTCTCCCTCCCTCCTCCTCCTCCTCCTTCCTCCCTCCCTCCTCCTCCTCCCTCCCTCCCTCCCTCCTCCTCCCTCCTCCTCCTCCCTCCCGCCCCGCGGCCGCTCCGCCTTTCTTTCCCTCCTCCTGCCGCCAGAAACTCCGCGCTTTCCGCTGCCCAGACCGCTCGAGCGCGCGTGCGGACTGCCTCTGCCGCGCTGCGACGTCGAATTCGTCGACGGGGGAGCTAAGACAAATGCACAATTCGTGCACCGTTGGGGCCCGCGATGGCAGTTTTAGGAGGCGTTTAGGGCCCAGGTAAAGACACCTTCGTACAATACCCCCACGTTTATTGCCCTCGCGTTGCCGTTCGCCTGATCCACAGGATCGCGTATGCATGAGATCGCGCCCTGGTATCCAGACCGCGAGAGCATGGATATGGACATGTCTTCGCTCGTGATAGCTGGTGCCACCCTGAGTAGTAGAAGGCGGCAGCGCCGGACACAGCACAGCCAGCCTCACACCTCCGGTGCCGCGATGTTTGACGATGCGCGCTCCCCAGAAGCCCCAACCCCCTCCTGGGGGTTGTTGTCCGTTCTGGGTATCAACCTCTGATTCCCAGAGATCCAACGCATTTCAAAAATCAAGACGCAGGTTTTTCGTAATTTTCAACCTCTGGAGGCCCTCGCCGGGCCCCGGGACCGTCAAGAAACGACTCGGGATGAAAAACCAGTCCTGGGGAATGGGTCGAGACCTCCGGGGACCCCGTATTGAAAAAATCACGACGTCGGATCTCTGGGCCGCCACGAGAAAAACCGCCCCCGGATGCCGAAACCGACGAAGAGCGCCGCGGCGGGATCGAGCACTGGGCGCGCGGTCGGCGCCCCCCCCGCGAGGAGTGGCGAGGGGCAGCGGCAGGCGCAGCGCGAGGCGTCGGGGGCACGTCGACCCCGGTCAGCGCTGAAACCCTGGTCAGCCACGCCCATGCTGACTACCTACCAGACCACCCCAACCCAACCCGAAGACCCGAATTTCGGGTTGGGGGGGGTAAGGGTTCCACATGTGTTTTTTCTATGTTTCCTGACCCCCCCCCACTGGAAATCGAGGGTAAATCTGAGCCTTCGGGTTGGGTTGGGGTGGTTTGGTGGGCGGTGACATGCAGCCAGCGTGCAGTGGAGGCCAGTCCACCAGGAACCTTCCACGAGAGACCCAACCCTGAGACCCCAGGACGTCCACAGATGTTTGATGCGGGAGCGCCACGCCTTCCGTCGCCAAGAAACCATCGAAGCCCAAGAAACCCAGGGCACCCTGGAGGCGAGCAGGGTGCTTCTTGGCATGGGCCCCCACTGTACACACCGGCCACAGGCCTGGGGGAGCGGAGGAGGAGGAGGAGGAGGAGGAGGAGGAGGAGGAGGAGAAGGCGGAGGCGGAGGAGGAGGAGGAGGAGGAGAAAGAGGAGGCGGAGGAGGAGGAGAAGGAGGAGGGGGCGAGGGCAAAGTCAGCTCCACGTGGCTCAGAGGCCTGGGTCGGCCAGGGGGAGATCGGGAGGGACCTGCTGACCCCCTGTCAGCGCCGAACCTCCGCTGCGCGCGCCCCGACAAGCCCGAGCCACGGGAAGCAGCACGCAGGGAGGGGCAACGCCGAGGGGGGCAGCGGGGCACGCAAGGGGCACGCCCGGGGCACGCAGGGAAGCGGCACGCGGGGGCAGCCCCGAGCCACGGGAAGCTGGGCACGCAGGGCACGCAGGGCGCGGCAGGGCCCCGGCATCAAGTCGGGTCCGTCCCTCAACAGGGGGAAGATTCAAGAATAGTCAATTAGCCTGGCGAAGGCCCCAACCATATGCAGTTGTGAATGCCGCAATTGTGCTGGGTGGTGGCGGACGCATGCGGGCGGTGCCACTGGGACCTTCGGTGGAGCTCCCTATGGGGCCACGAAACGCTGTACTGGGTGGGTGAGACGCGGTCAGCAAGGGCTGTGCTGCGTGGTGGCGGACGCATGCGAGCGGTGCCACTGGGACCTTCGGTGGAGCTCCCTATGGGGCCACGAAACGCTGTACTGGGTGGGTGAAACGCAGGCAGGGAGCAAGGGCTGTGCAGGGTGGTGGCGGACGCATGCGGGCGGTGCCGCTGGGACCTTTGGTGGAGCTCCCTATAGGGCTACGAAGCGCTGTTCTGGGTGGGTGAAGCGCAGGGAACAAGGGCTGTGCTGGGTGGTGGCGGACGCAAGCGGGCAGTGCCACTGGGACCTTTGGTGGAGCCCCCTATGGGGCCACGAAACGTGCGAGGGGTGTGCCAGAATGGGGTGTGGAACCGCATGCCAGCGCAGCCACTGGGGCCTTCGGTGGAGCTCCCTATGGAGCCACGAAACGTGTGAGGGGTGTGCCGAAATGGGGGGTGGAACCGCATGCGAGCGCAGCCACTGCGGCGTTCGGTGGAGCTCCCTATGGGGCCACGAGACGTGTGAAGGGCGTGCCGAAAAGGGGGGTGGAACCGCATGCGAGCGCAGCCACTGGGGCCTTCGGTGGAGCTCTCTATGGGGCCACGAACCGTGTGAGGGGTGTGCCGAAATGGGGGGGGAACCACATGCGAGCGCAGCCACTGGGGCGTTCGGTGGAGCTCCCCATGGAGCCACCCACGAAGCGTGTGAGGGGTGTGCCAGAATGGGGGGTGGAACCGCATGCGGGCGCAGCCACTGGGGCCTTCGGTGGAGCTCCCTATGGGGCCACGAAACGTGTGAGGGGTGTGCCAGAATGGGGGGTGGAACCGCATGCGGGCGCAGCCACTGGGGCCTTCGGTGGAGCTCCCTATGGGGCCACGAAACGTGTGAGGGGTGTGCCAGAATGGGGGGTGGAACCGCATGCGGGCGCAGCCACTGGGGCCTTCGGTGGAGCTCCCTATGGGGCCACGAAACGTGTGAGGGGTGTGCCAGAATGGGGGGTGGAACCGCATGCGGGCGCAGCCACTGGGGCCTTCGGTGGAGCTCCCTATGGGGCCACGAAACGTGTGAGGGGTGTGCCAGAATGGGGGGTGGAACCGCATGCGGGCGCAGCCACTGGGGCCTTCGGTGGAGCTCCCTATGGGGCCACGAAACGTGTGAGGGGTGTGCCAGAATGGGGGGTGGAACCGCATGCGGGCGCAGCCACTGGGGCCTTCGGTGGAGCTCCCTATGGGGCCACGAAACGTGTGAGGGGTGTGCCAGAATGGGGGGTGGAACCGCATGCGGGCGCAGCCACTGGGGCCTTCGGTGGAGCTCCCTATGGGGCCACGAAACGTGTGAGGGGTGTGCCAGAATGGGGGGTGGAACCGCATGCGGGCGCAGCCACTGGGGCCTTCGGTGGAGCTCCCTATGGGGCCACGAAACGTGTGAGGGGTGTGCCAGCATGGGGGGTGGAACCGCGCGGGCGCAGCCACGGTGGAGGGCCACGAAACGTGTGAGGGGTGTGCCAGAATGGGGGGTGGAACCGCATGCGGGCGCAGCCACTGGGGCCTTCGGTGGAGCTCCCTATGGGGCCACGAAACGTGTGAGGGGTGTGCCAGAATGGGGGTGGAACCGCATGCGGGCGCAGCCACTGGGGCCTTCGGTGGAGCTCCCTATGGGGCCACGAAACGTGTGAGGGGTGTGCCAGAATGGGGGGTGGAACCGCATGCGGGCGCAGCCACTGGGGCCTTCGGTGGAGCTCCCTATGGGGCCACGAAACGTGTGAGGGGTGTGCCAGAATGGGGGGTGGAACCGCATGCGGGCGCAGCCACTGGGGCCTTCGGTGGAGCTCCCTATGGGGCCACGAAACGTGTGAGGGGTGTGCCAGAATGGGGGGTGGAACCGCATGCGGGCGCAGCCACTGGGGCCTTCGGTGGAGCTCCCTATGGGGCCACGAAACGTGTGAGGGGTGTGCCAGAATGGGGGGTGGAACCGCATGCGGGCGCAGCCACTGGGGCCTTCGGTGGAGCTCCCTATGGGGCCACGAAACGTGTGAGGGGTGTGCCAGAATGGGGGGTGGAACCGCATGCGGGCGCAGCCACTGGGGCCTTCGGTGGAGCTCCCTATGGGGCCACGAAGCGTGTGAGGGGTGTGCCAGAATGGGGGTTGGAACCGCATGCGGGCGCAGCCACTGGGGCCTTCGGTGGAGCTCCCCATGGGGCCGCGGGGCACCGTCTCTTCAAAACGAGGACCCAACACCACAGGATGGTTGGGAAAAAATAGTCTGGGGACGCTTTTTGGACAATTCTGGCTCATTTGGGGGGCATGTGTTGAGTATTTGTGTTTTTCGCCGACAATTCCCCTGCAGGGGGGCATGCCCGACCGAACCCTGGCACCCAAAGCGTCGCGGAAGATCGCGACCCGCCTCTTAGCCCCCACTCCAGGGGCAGTTTTCGGGACCCGCGGGCATCAAGACACGGGCACGGACAGCGTACTGAAAAAGACATGTTGCCGGGTGCCTGGGTCTGGCCGTGAGATTCTGTACGGCGTCGCGACAGTCTCACGACGTCGGATGTCAGGGGGCTGAAGGGGAGCACAGGGGGGGTGCAACGGACAGGAGGAGGAGAGGGCAAGCATCGACCTGGAGTCGGTGGCGCATCGCCGAGGCATCGTCGCTGGGCCCCAGCAGCTCATGGCGCGTGGGGCACCACCGGCGCCCGTACCATATCTCGGCGGTGGCTGGGCCATCCAGGGTCGACGTCTCCGCCCCTCCCCCCCCCCAGGCTGCCCCTCCCCCGGAGGCAGCCCCAATGGGGCCACAGAAGACTCCCAGAAGACGACCGTCAGGTTGGGAGAGGATGGGTTTGGGAAGACACGGGGCACGACTCTGTCATAAGCACGCTGCACATAATTAGGCGATGAAGCGGATGATATCTGGCCATCTCTCCCAACCCCATCCTCCCCACCCGATAGTTGTCCTTCTGCGACTCCGCTCCGACCCCACCCGGGCGGCCCAGGCATTTTTTGGGGAGGAGGAGTTCTCTCCTGAAGGGAAGGGACGGCGCGAGGCTCAGTCGCCGCCGAAGTGCACGTTGTAGCTCTTGGAGACCCAGCTGCTCTGGACCTGGTGCGCGCCCGGGCCGGGCGTGGCCGCCGCCTTTGAAGGGGCCCTGGGACACACAAATAAATATACACAAATAACAGGATCCCCATATTTTCCGATATGTTCGGGTTTCTTTGTCTTCCCCCCCCCCACACTTCCCAAATTTTCCCATGTTTTCCTGGGAGTCGACGATGCATTGTGTCTGCGTGTTTGTTTCTCTCCTGAGCCTTGTCGCTGAAGCGCTTGCCGGAGTGCCCGAAGCCGAAGCCCCCGCGGAGGCCCTCCGCGATGGCGCGGTTGTACGTGCCCAGGCGCTTGCCGCCCGTGAGCTCCCCGGGCGTGTACATGCCGGGCCCCGGGCCCAGCTCGGCCCTGGCGGGCGGGGCCGAGCGCGGGGCCGCGGAGAGGAAGCCCTCGGACTTCGGGGGCATGCGCACCACCGCCGACGTGTCCCTTGCCAGCAGGGGCGTGTACTGCCCGGGGGGCGGCACCCTCTCGGCCTCCTTCAGCGTCGCGTGCATCAGGGAGTTCTTGGCGCTCTCCGAGGCGAACACCGCGTTGGGCGGGTGCGCCCGGCCGGTGCGGAGCTGCCCCTGCGGGGCGGCGTGCTCCGGCGCCGACAGCCCTGCCGGCGCCTCGTAGTTGCCGGGCCCAGGGGTCTCTGCGACTCCCCGGGTCGCGCGGCTCTGCATGCTGCCGAAGGCGAGGACCCCAGTGCTGGCAAGCACGGACGCTGTGCCCAGGGCCCCAGAGGTCTTCGACAGCACCTCCTGCTCGTAGGCCCCTGGCCCCGGCAGCTCTGGGTGCGAGGTCAACGCTGCGTGGCTGCAGGGACCCTCGAAGCGGTCAGAGATGCCGAACGATGTCTTGGCCGGCGGCCTGGCGGCGCGCTTGCGAGGAGCCTCGTACTGACCGGGGCCCGGCACCCCGTCGCTTGGCTTTCGCTGGAAGCGCTCGGCGGTGCTGCCGAAGAACTGCAACTCGGGGTTGAGTTCCCGCAAGCTCTTGCGCCCTGGCGCCGTCACAGAGTAGGCGCCGGGCCCGGGCCTCTCCTCGGCCTTCGACGCCAGCCTCTCGGTGCCAGAGGCCAAGCTCGACAGGGGCCCACGGCCGCGCGGGGCACCCCTCTCCATGTAGTGGCCAGGCCCGGGCGTCTCGACCACCTTGTGGGTCGTCCTGGGCGGCCCCCGCCCGAACACGCCGAGCGGGGCCTTCTGCTTCTCGCCGCGGGTCCCCACCTCGTAGTGCCCCGGCCCCGCCGTCTCCGCGCCGACGCCGGCGAGCAGCTGCGAGGCGTTCTTCGGGGGCTGCCGCACCAGCCGCCCGTCGCCGCTCTCCTCGTAGCCGAAGCACTGCTGCGCCCGCGGTATGGAGGGCGCGCTCGCCGAGCGGAACATGAGGCCCTTCACGCCCTGCGGAGCGCCCATCGTGCGGCACGCCTCCACGCGCAAGGAGGCCTCGGGTGCCTCGTAGGCGCCCGGCCCCGGCGTGAACTCCTTGGCGTCGGCGGGGACGCCCCCCGCGCGGAGGGCGCTCGACAGGAAGGGCGCGGCCTTCCTGGGCAGGCCGGAGTTGTAGGAGCTGGGCAGCTTGGGGTCGTAGGCGCCTGGCGGTGGAACGGGGTACCGCTCCGCCCTGTCTTCGTTGCGCGGCTCGCTGGTGATGCGCGCCTTGTCCGAGCCGAACGGCGCGTAGCTCGGCTCCGTTTGGCGTCTTGGAGGCGGCGGCGCGGCGTACGAGCCAGGCCCAACGACTGGGTTGGCGTCCTCCTAAGAGACCGGCAGCTATGCACCGTCCCCAGCCCTGACCAGTCCCATCATCGGACCTGGACTGGTGCATGTAAAGCTTCCCTGGCCAGGCCAGGAGGGTGGGTGCACCAGTCCAGGGCCCAGGATGCACCTGGCCAAGGCTGGTCGTGGTGTGTACCCAGACCCCAGGCGGACTGATATTTCAGATCGCTGGCCACCGGATAACTCGAGCCCATCCACGGGACCAGCTTTCCTCCTGGCCTATGTTGGTTGTCCCTGGGGCCCGAAACGGGCCTCCAGAGGCGAAAAGCATGGAAAGACTTGCCGCCCCAATTCCCCAGACCTGCGACGTCGCGAATGTGTCCTCAACATGGACCACGGGACCCCAGCCCGGGGAGGCCTCGATCGTCGAGCTCTCATCCCGAGCAGCGTCTCGGCAATCTCAAAGCCTGTGAGGGCCCCTGGAGGCCGCACAAACCCTGAGCACGCAGCCCGCAGCGAGATCTCTCACGCTGGGGAGTCTGGGCCCGTCGAGGCGCGCGGAGGTCTGGGCCACCTCCGAGCTCCGACGTTGCAAAACAGGTGCGGCACCGCAGAACATCGGGGGGGAACGAAAGGGGGGGATTAGCAAAGGGTAGGGTAGAGAATCAGCTCGCGTAGCGGACTTTCCCAGCGCCACCCGGCGCCGGGAGGCGCCCGTGTATCGAGGAATGGGCCCGGCGGCGGGGCCGAGACCAGCTGCATGCAGCAGATCTCGTAACCCCCCCTTTCCCTATCCCCCCCTTGCATTCGGCCCGAGGAAAGCACGACCAGAGCCCTGGGCCCCACGTTTCAGTTTCACTTTTCGGACCTGATCGCTCTTCGGGAGCGGCCAAGAGGGGGGTGTCCAAGAGGGGGGGGTGCAAATCATGACCGGCGGCATGTGCGCGGCCCAGCGGGGGGCCAGGGACGCAATGAAATAAGAAGGGGCGCCATGAAATCTGGGGAAATATATCATGGCCCACGCCATGATATCCACCCCCCTAGTCATCACCCCCCTCTTTTCCGCCCCCGAGCTCTGTGAGGTCCCCGGGTGCCCAGGCCGGGCGGAGGCGCCCGCGGAAAGGAAAAAAAAACCTGGCGGCGCTGGGGTCTCAGGGGCCGGGCCGGTCTCCGGCCTGCGCCGCGGTGAACCTGGTGCTCTTCGAGGTCCACGCCATCGCGGTGTGGCCGGCCCGTCCCCCCACTCCCCCGCAGAGCCCCGCGGGGCGGGGCTCGGGGGGGGGGGGAGCTGGGCGGCCTCGGCCCCGCGGCCAGACCGCCTCCGGCGCCACGGCGCCGCCTGGAGCCAAAATGGCTGCGGAGGGAGAGGAGGAGGGAGAGGAGGAGGGGGGAAGAGGAGGAGAGAGGAAGAGGAGGAGGAGGAGGTGGAGGAGGAGGAGGAGGAGGAGGAGGAGGAGACTTGTGGGAGTCGATCTGAGGAGGAGGAGGAGGAGGAGGAGGCGGAGGAGGAGGAGGAGAAGATTTGTGGGAGTCGGTCCTCTTTCGGCCCAAAAGTGCACCAGGCCAGTGGCGAGCAGGCATGCCAAAACTGTTTCATCACCATGCAACTCCACACGCATAGCAACTGAACAATAAAAATGGCAATACGAAGTTAAAGCGACTGTGGCCCCAGCCCGATTGGAATAAAGTCTCTTCTCCAAGTCCTTGCACGGATTGCTGTTCGAGGCCACTTTGTCGAGCTCGCTGCGCTTGTCGAGGTTCCTCAGCTGAGCCCCCGACGCCATAGAGCTGCACTCGTGGCAGAGCAATCAGAGCAGTCCAGATGTCGCAACGATGGCCCAACTCCCCGAGACGAGACGCCTGGGCCCTGGAGGTGGTCCCTGCGAAAGCTTGCCCTTGCAGCCTCGCAGAGACTCAGAGCAGCGCCAGCAATGGCCGACCCCCCCCCCACCCGTGGGCGCGTTTGCCCACCTCCTTCTCCGGAGGCAGGCGGGACTGGGGCACGCCGGACCCCTCGGGCCCCGAGGGCCGCATCGGGCCACGGAGACCGAAGCTTGGCCCCCCAGACGCCCCACGGCCCTGGCAACCGCAACCTGACGGTCGAGGCCCTCGGACGCCGCTCGATGCCTGCCTCGTGTAGCGGCGGCGGGAACGAGACCGGCGCCGCAGCTCGGCGGCGAGCGAGGGGGGGGAACGAGAACGAGAAGGCCCTCTCAGAAGGTTCGGAAGTCCCTGGGCCTTCTGAGAAGTCTTCTGAGCCTTGCCCGAGGACAGAAGCACTTCTCAGAAGGCGCGAGGGCCTCTGCGAAGTCCCGCCGCCCTCCTGAGAAGGCATGCTCCTCCTCGTCTCCCCCCTCGCTCGCCGCCGAGCGGCGGGTGGCGCTGTCGTCGGCCTCGGCCGCCCCACGCCGGAGGATCGGGTTGGCCAGGAGGTCCTTCGGCTCCACCGCCCCAGGGCACGGCCATCCCCACAGTCGACGTGTGGGCGGATCTAAGGCGGCCTCACGCACCTTGGCAGCCAAGACACAAGGGGGTGGAGGGAGGGGGGAGGGCTTCTTAGGAGGAGGCTGCTTCATAGAAGGCGCCGTCCTTGCATCTGTAGACAAGGCCCGCGCCTTCTAAGAAGCAGGGGGGTGCTTCTAAGAAGCCCCCTCCCCTCCCCCCACCACCCTCTGCGCGTGGCCGAGCATCGTCGGAGGACCTTGCAGGCACCTGGCGCCGTCTTCGAGCCATCGCAGGGCATCTTGGACTCCCCTACCTCCATTGTCTTCGTCGTCGCTGCCTACAGGGTCGGCGGCATCGGCCGTGAGGCCTTCGCAATCTGAGGCGGCCTCACGCAGAGGGTACATCGCGGATGACAGGACGTAGCCTTTGCTGGCAGCACGCTCGATTGTGTGTGAAATAGCTCAGGCATCCTTTCTGAAAGGGGCAAACTCGGAACCGCCGACGTAGCTAAACACATGCTCGACACGCGCTCTATCTTCAAGGCTAAGCTGACCTCCTGGCCACATCCGAACCCTCCAATAACAGCACGCTTGCATACGAATCGAACCGTATGAGGCGAATACTAAGTAAGGTTCATTTCTTGACCCTGGTCCGTTACCAAGATCCCGACCGACTTCATAATGCAGCCGTTGCGCGCACATGACTTCCTACGAGCCGTTACAGGCCCAGACACACTTCTCTAGAGAAGGGAGTCGCCAGAGAACCCCGCATCGCAAGCAGCAAGATTCCCGATAAAATCAAGCGCGTGCTTATAGATATCTATATGAATATATGCGCCTACCCGACTATTTTGGCCCACGGACAAACAAGCGAGACAGTAGCATATCATTGAGGCCGCGTGCGGTCGACGGTGCGAACAGCACTTGTGGTAGCTCCCCATCCCTTTGCTAAGTGCAAGGGTCCCGCACACATGTCTTTCGCGGAGGCCCAATTAGCTCCAAACCTGGAGGCACATTGCATTTCGCATGTATTTTGGGGGGCGCCCTCACTCTGATAGGGCTTGTTACGTCGCCGCTCTCCGTTAGAAGCCCTGGTGTTCAGAGACTTGTACGTTGCCGCTCCCTCTTGGGAGCCGTGGTGTGACGAGCTTTGCACGTCACCGCGCTCTGGGGAGCTCTGGTGTGAAGAGCTTGTTACGCCGTTCCCGTACCGAGGGCTACGCGCCGTGGCATGCCGGGCCGGGTGGTGTCGGGGCCCCCTGGCGGCGCCTCTGGCGCCGCCCCTGGCGCGCTCCGGTCCAGCGCAGATCCAAGGAATCCGCGCGGAGCGTCGAAAGTGCATGTTTGTGCCGCCTGTTTCGGCTCGGCAGCGGAGGGCCAGACGCACGGACGACCGGGCGACGCACAGCCTCCGGGGCCCCCACTGGCCCAGCAGGGCCTCCGCCGCCCGCATCTCGTAGGAGCCGCCGACCGCCCCGTGGCGCAGTGGCACCTCGGGCGCCTGCGCCGGCTTGGGCGGCGCAGCCGGGGTCCTGGCGGCAGAGCGGAGGAGGACAAGACTGAACGGGTGGAAGCCGCCCCCCCGCCGCCCACACGGGGAACTGTAGACCAACTAGACCGCGCGCGCGGGCCCCCCCTGCGGCAGCTGGCAATTGCCTCCCTTGCAGGGCGCCCACACCCACGCACTTTCGCCAGAGTTGCAGAATGCTGACATCCGAAATCCATTGTTCCGGGGGCTGGGGTCGGTTTCCCACTGTTTAAAGACCTTGGAGCTGCGCGCAGACCCCGCTTTCGGGGCTGCGGACGATCCAGAAGCGCCCAGGAACCACCAAAACTACGACGTCATCATCGTCATCGACGACCACGAGGTCCCCAAAGGTCCCTGGAGGCCTTAGGAAATACCCAGGGCCATTGGAAGTCCCCGTGGGTCCCCGGAGGCCTCTGGACGCTCAGAAAAGGCGGACACGCCCAAAAGCCCTGCAGATCCTCGATCCTCCGGTCTCGCCCGAGGACGACGACGACGATGACGACGAAGACGACGACGACGACGACGAAGACGACGACGACGACCACGACGACGACGACGAAGACGACGACCACGACAACGACGACGACCACGACGAAGACGACGACGAAGACGACGACCACGACGACGACGGCGACGACGACGACGACGACGACCACGACGACGACGACGACGACGTCCACGACGAGGACGTCGACGACGATGACGACGACGACGACGACGACGACGACGACGACGACGACGGACGGCGGCGGCGGCGGCCACGCTGGCGTCGTCGCCGTCGTCATCCTCGCCGTCGTCGTGGGGTTCCCGCGGGCGCCGTCGGCATCTGGCCAGGGCGCCGCCAAGCCCAGCGGGGGGTGGGCACCCTCCGGGCCGACTCGCCCGCGGCCTGCGTCAGCGCGCGCATCGTCGTCGTCGTCGCCGTCGCCGTCGTCATCCTCGTCCTCGTCCTCGCCCTCGTCCTCGTCCTCGTCCTCCCTCCTCCTCCTCCTTCTCCTCCTCTTCCTTTGCCTCCTCCTCCTCCTCCTTCTCCTCCTCCTCCCCCTCCTCCAATCCCTCCTCCTCCTCTTCCTCCTCCTCCTGTCCCTCCTGCTACTCCTCCTCCACCTCCTCCCCCTTCTAAGCTCTCTGTGAAGACTGCTCAATACATAGACTTGCTAAGTACAAAAGAGCCCCCACAATATAATCCGTAAAACAAATCCTTCTACAAAAGAATTCCTTAACGAGGAGTCATTGCGAAAGAGCCTCTCCAGAAAAGATCCTCGCCGAAGGACCCCAAGAAACCCATACAAAATTACTACCTGAGCGGCTCCAGGCTAAAGAACAAGGTCCCCCAAAGAGTGCCGGACGAGCGGGTTCGGACCAACAACCATTGCAAAACAAATATTATTTGTCTGGTCCGAGGGCTTGCAAACACTGTACATAACATGTTGTTCAGGGTTATCAAGTTGTCGTGACTCGATCTATCTGAGAACGCGGAAGTGCACAAACACATCAAACACCTGGAGCCATGTGTTTACACTGTTTGCTGGCCATCTAACCGGATAAACATGCCGTTTGCAATGTTTCTGACCCTTTCGCACGACACGAGACGCCACGAGCAAGAGAGCCTGGGATCTTTGCTATGGATCCTGTGATGGGGAGCCCTTCAGACAGAGCCTTCCGAAGAAATTAAAAATGACGGTCCCATTAATCAGAAACTCTGTCTGAATCATCATGAGCAGGAGAATCCTTTGAGAATCCTCGCTGTAGAATCCGTAGAGAAGAATCCTTTTTACAAACGAACTTTGGAGTCCCGAAACGGTGCGGTGACGGACCGTGCGATGACCTCGAAATCCCCCAAGACCTCACCGCACGGTCCGTCACCGCACGGTTTTGGGACCCTGGAGGCCCTTGTCGCCCGAGACATCCTCGGAGAGGGACTCGAGTCCCAAAACCGTGCGGTGACCCCGAATCCCCACCGACTCACCACACGGAGTGGTCACCACACCGTTTGGGGGCCCCCGGCGAACTCTGAATGGGGAGTCATTACCGGAGAAACCTTCAGAGAGAATCCTCACCGAAATCTTGAGGAATCCAAATCGAAGGAATCCGTTTTCCAAGGTATCCTTACTACCCGAGCGCCACCAGGCTGAATGACACAGCCCTCACAGGGTGTCGCACGAGCAGGATCGGACCATCAACCATTGAAAACAATGTTGTTCATGTCCGCGGGCCATCGAAGCTGTTTTTCTGTCTGTTTTCGCACATCTGCCTGCCTGAGCGCCCACTGATCTTCATAAACTTGGAAAACCGGAGAACATGTTGTTTTCACAATGTGCTGGCCTTCTGGCCTGCAAAACATGTTTTGACAGTGTTTGCTGACCCTTTGGCATGACGCGGAGCGCCACGAGCAACAGAAAGCAGGATCCTTGCAAACGAACCCTTGCTAGAGAGTCCTTAACACAGAACTCTCAGCCGTGCTAAGGAGCTCTTAATGAGGAATCCTTGAAAAGAAATCCTGTCTGAATCGTCCAGACCAAAGAGTGAGTTCTCACTGCTGAATCCGATACGCAACTACCTTTCACAAAAGACACCCTAAATCAGGAGTTATTACCAAAGAGTCTTCATAAAGGAGTCTTGCCGAAGAACACCCGTACAGTCAGTGGGCGACTTTGGGTAGTGAAATTTGGATGAGCATATCCCATCGGTAACTTCCTGGGCCCAACATCACACTGTGAACCCAATTGTGCCCGTGGACACTTTGGCTCCAGCAGCGCGACTTCAGAACGCGCGCCAGGGCGTCGGTTCGAGCAACGCAGTCCAAGCGCCATGCAGCCGGGAACCTTCGGACCGAACGGGAGGCAAGAGGCCAAGAGAAAGCCAAGAGGAACCCAAAAGGGAACCATCTCTCACGAGGAAACCAAAAAAGCCAAGAGGAAGCCAAGAGGAAACCAAAAGGGAGGCAAGAGGCCAAGAAAAAGCCAAGGAAAAGCCAAGAGGAAACCGACAGCCACTCGCCGACGACCGACGACGAGCGACCGACCGACCGACCCACGACAACTGGCCGACCGAACGACAGGCCGACGGATCGACCGACCGACCGACCGACGACGAAAACAACGACTGGCCGACCGACCGACCGAGACGACGACGACCGACGACGACGACCGACCCGCCGACCGACCGACCGACCGACTGACCGACCGAGACGACGAAGACGACCGACCGACCGACTGGCCGAGACTACGACGACCGACGAAGACAACCGACCGACTGACAAGCCGAGACGACGACCGACCGACCGACGACGACGACCGACAGACCGACCGACCGACCGACCGACCGACCAACGACGACGACCGGACCGACACGACGACGACGCCCGACAACGACCGACGACGACCGAGGACCGACCGACCGACCAATCAAGACGACGACGACCGACGACGACGACCGACCGACCGATCGCCCGACGCGGACGACAAAACCGACCGACCGACCGACCGAAGCCGACGACCGGACCGAAACGACGAAGACCGACGACAACCGACGGCGACCGACGACGACCGACGGACCGACCGACCGACCAAGACGACGGCGACCGACCAACCGAGGACGACCGACTGACCGACCGAGGGATCGTCGCCGACGACAAGACCGACCGACCAACAGACCAACCGCACGCGCACGAGCACGCGCAGGCTGCATCCATGTGGGAGCGAGGCGTGAGTACACTGCTAGGACACCCCCCCGCCGAGTCACTGCCCTCGTGTTTATATAATTATTCAAGACCAAAAAAATCAACGGGGTGCGGTTCCAGGTTCTGGCCCTCAATGCGTTCGAAGGAAAACGCTCCAGCCGCCCACGCCGTGGGCTCCAGCCCTGAGCCATCACAAAGGAAAGTGTTTCCCGCCGCTCATACCACCAAGGAAAATGCACTCCAGCCTCCAGTTTCTACGAGGGAACACGTTCCAGCCGCCCACGGCGTGGGCCCCAGGCCTTTCACACAGGAAAGTGCTAGTGAGCTCCAGCCTCCTGTTTTTACGAAAGCGTTCCAGACGCCCACGGCGTGAGCACCCAGCCCTCAATTGCTCCGAAAAGCAATGCTCCAGCTGCTCATGCCGGCAAGACGAGCGCAGTCCTGTCCCCAGTAATTGTTACCAGGGTCAGCGTTCCAGCTGCCTCCGTCCGTCGGTGCTCGCGGCCCGCGCGCGGATGCGACGGCTGCCGCGCGAGAGGGCAACTGAAACGAGCCGCGCCCCAACCAGGGCCTCAACAAAACTTCATGAGCACACCTCGTCCAAGTTCCCCCTAGCAAATCAGTCAGCTGCATGGACAGTCGGTGGACTCTTGCTCGTAAGGAAATATCTATGGACATATATTATCGGGGGCTTTTCGGGTCAAGCACCAGCATGTTCTGAACCTCGTTGTGTCCGTGGCCTCTTCGGCTCCAACGGCGCGACTTCGGGGCGCGCCATGGCGTTGGTTCCAGCAACGCAACGCAAGCGCGATGCAGTCGGGAATCTTCGGTCCGAAAGCGAAACCAGAGGCCAGAGGCCAAGATGGAGCCGAGAGGGAGCCAACAGAAGACCACCCCTTACGGCGCCGGCCGGCCGAGAGACAACGTACGACCGCGACGACGACCCACCGACCGATCGAAACAACGACGACCCACGACGACGACGACGACCAACAGACCCGCCGACCGACCGACCGACCGAGACGACGACGACCGACGGACAGCTCAACCGACCGACCGAAACGACGACGACCGACGACGACAACGACCGACCAACCGACCGACCGACAAAGACGACGACGAACGACGACGACGACCGACCGACCGAAGACCGAGACGACGACGACGACGACGAAAATGACAACGACGACGACCGACTGACCGACTGGCCGACCGACGCCTACGACCAACGCCGACGACTGGACCGAGACGACGAGGACGAACGACGAGGACCGACGACGACGACGACAGACCGACACACCTACGCCGACCGACTGACCGACCGTCCGGCCAAGACGACGACGACCGACGACGACGACTGACAACGACGACCGACGACCAGACCGACCGACCGACCGACCGATCGACCGACGCCCACCGACCGACAACGACCGACGGACTGACCGACCGACTGGCCAAAACGACGACGACCGACGACAACGACCGACGGACCGACCAGTCGACCGACGCCGACGACCAGACACCGACTGACAGACCAACCGCACGCGCACGATTGCGCGCGGACTACCCTCATCTGGGAGCGAGGCTGCATACAATGCTAGGAACCCCGCCCCCAGCCCCGTGCCAACCCCCGCCTTGTGAGGCCTCGGTCGCCGACGAGACGAGTGCCTTCCAGCCTTCCTTGCTGAGAAATGGGAAAACGCTCCAGCCGCCCAGGGCGTGGGCTCCAGCCCTCAATGCTTACACAAGCAAGGGCTGCAACCGCTCGCGCCGACAAGGCGAGTGCGATCCGGCCTCCACGTTCTGCAGGGGACAACGGTTCCAGCCGCCCACGGCGGCAGCTCCAGCCCTCGATGCGTTCGAGGGAGGGGTGCTCCAGCCGCTCATGCCGCCAAGACGAGAGCGTTCCAGCCCCCATTGCCTTCTAGGCGAGGCAGCGTTGCAGCCGCCTTCGTTCGCGAGCCTTCGCGGCCCGCGCGCGGATGCGACGGCTGTCGCGCGACGAGGGCAGCTAGGACGAGCCGCGCCTCAACCACGGCCTCGGCAAAACTTCACGAACACACCTCGTCCAAATTCCCACAAGCAAATTCGTCGACCGACTGGCCAGTCAGTGGGCGATTGTTGGTCTCAAATTTGAACGAGCAGCTCTTACCGGGAACGTTTCGGGTCCAGCATCATGTCCTGAACCTAATTGCGCCCGTGGCTTCTTTAGCTCTGGTCGCGCGACTTCAGAATGTGCCATGGCGTCGGTTCCAGCAACGAAGCGCAAGCGCAATGCAGTCAGGAATCTCCAAACCGAAAACGAAACAAGAGGCCAAGAGAGTCTAGAGGGAATCAAAAGAAGACCATCCCTCACGGCAACGGCCGGCCGACCGACAGCAGACGACGGCAACGACGACCGACCGACCGACCGACCGACCGACCCACCACAACCGACCGACCGAAAGGCCGACGGATCGACCTACCAACCGACCCACCGACAGAGACGACCAACGACGAGAACGACGACGACCGACCAACCGACCAAGACGACGACGACGACCGACGACGACGACGACGACGACCGACCGACCGACGCCGAGGACCAGACCGAGACGACGACCACCGACGACGACCGACGTACCAACCGATCGAGTGACAACGACTGACGCACCGACCGGCCGACCGACCAAACCGACGACGCCGACCAACAACGACGACCGACAGACCGACCGATCGACCGACGCCGAAGTCCATACCGATTGACGGACCAACCGCACGCGCACGAGCGCGCGCACACTGCCCCGATCTGGGATTGAGGCGCGAATGCAATGCTAAGATCCACGCCCCCAGGCCCGTGCCCCCCCCCAAAACTTATCTATATGTTCACGCAACCCCAAGCGTGGTGTGCCTCCAGCCCTCAATTTCTACAAGGGAAAATGTTCCGACAGCTCATGTCGACAAGACGAATGCGCTACAGCCTGAAAAAAATACAGAAGAAAACGTTCAAGACCTCAACGTCTAAGACGGGAAATGTTCCAACCGCTCATGCCGACAAGACGAGTGCGGTCCAGCAAATTCAACCAGGGAAAGCGCTCCACCCGCCCACGGTGTGGGTTCAAGCCCTCAATGCGTGCGAAGGAAAATATTCCTGCAACCCTTGCCGACAAGGCGAGTGCGCCCCTGCCTTTAAGAAATTCTACGGGAGATAGCTTTCCAGCCGTCTCCGTCCGTCAGTGCTCGCGGCTTTCGCGCGAATGTGAGGGCTGTCGTGCGAAAGGGCAGCTAGAATGAGCCGAGCCTCAAACACGGCCTCAACTAAATTAGACGAACACACCTCGTCAAAATTCTGACAAGCAGATTACGCCAGTGAGTGTGAGGACCGATACTACGGAATCCTTATCGAAGGAGTCCTTACTACCTGAGCGCACAATGCTCCCAGATAAGGTGCCGCATGAGCGGGTTTGGACCATCAGCCACTCTAAAAGAGGAACAAGAATTGGGGTCAGAGGGCCCGCAAGCCCAGTCTATCTACATGAGCGCCCGCAGATCCACAAGCACATGTGTTAATAAAGAATGGAAGAAATGCGCTTACATCTTTGGATGGCCCACTGATCTGAAAAACCTGTCTTTAACGTGGATTTGCTGACCCTTTGGCTTGACACGAGGCGCCACGAGCAAGAGAGATCGGGATCCGTGCTACGGAATCCTTGCTGGAGAGTCCTTCAGACAGAGCTGTCCTGAATTCTCCATGCGGAGCCCATGAGAGGGAGTCTTTCCTGAATCACCCTGAGCAAAAGAATCCTCACTGTAGAATCCGTGAGGGATCGTTTACAAAAGAACTCATTTACGAGGAGCCATTACCGAGGAGCCCTTCAGAAAAGGATCCTTACCGAGGAAAGCCCCTAAGGAATACGCAATAAGGAACCCGTGCTAAGGAACCCTTGTCTATGGAATCCCTACTGCATGAGCGCCTCCAAGCAGAATGACAAAGCGCCCATATAGTGTGCCGCACGAGCGGGCTCGGACCATCAACAATTTCAAGAAAAAAAGGAAAACAAGGTGTTTCGGAAACTGGGGCCAGCAACCACTATAGAAAACCAGGTTGTTAATTGTTGTTCCGACTGTCGTGAATATATATATATATATAACAAAAAACCTGACCGCGCATAGTTCCACAAAAGCATGAAACACCTGAAACACCTGTGCTTGCATGATTGGTTGGCGCTCTGACTTGAAAAACATGTATTTGCAATGTTGGCTTGACACGAGGCGCCACGAGCAAGAGAGGTCGGGGATGTACGGCTATCCCGCGCTCTCTCTCTCTCTCTCTCTCTCTTTATCCCTCTTTCCCCCCCCCCCCCCACACACACACACAAACGCTCAAACCACTCAGGCCTGTATAAGGGTTTCCAGCCCCTCCCTCCTCCTCCTCCTCCTCCTCCTCCTCCACCTTCCCCCTCCTCCTCCCCTCCTCCTCCTCCTCCTCCTCCTCCTCCTCCTCCTCATGATCATCATCATCAGCATCATCATCATCATCATCATCATCATCATCATCATCATCATCATCATCATCATCATCATCATCATCATCATAGTCATCATCATCAGCATCATCATCATCATCATCATCGTCATCGTCATCGTCATCGTCATCATCATCATCTTCATCATCAGCATCATCATCAACATCATCATCATCATCATCATCATCATCATAATCATCATCATCAGCATCATCATCAACATCGTCATCATCATCCTCATAATCATCATCATATTCATCTTCATCATCATCTTCTTCATCATCATCATCCTCATCCTCATCCTCATCCTCAGCATCATCCTCATCATCAGCATCAGCATCAGCATCATCAGCATCAGCATCAGCATCTGCATCATCATCATCATCGTCATCATCAATATCGTCATCATCATCAGCAGCATCATCAGCAGCATCATCGTCATCATCATCATCCAGATCCTGCTCCTCATCATCATCCAAATCCTCACCCTCATCCTCCTCATCATGATCAGCATTATCCTCATAAGCATCAGCATCAGCATCATAATCATAATCAGCATCATCATCATCATCATCATCAAAAGTATCAGCAGCATCATCACAATCATCCTCAGCATCATCATCATCATCATCATCAGCATGAGCACCATCATCAGATCAGCATAATCCTCAGCATAAGTATCATCATCATGATCATCGTCATTATAATCATCATCGCCATCATAATCTCATCATAATCATCAGCATCATCATCAGCAGCATCATCCTCATCATGATCCTCATCCTCATAATATTCCTCATCATCATCTGCAGCATCAGCAGGATCATCAGCATCATCAGATCATCAGCATCATCATCAGCACCAGCATCAACATCAACATCAGCATCATCATTATCATCATCATCATTATCATCAGCATCATCAACACCTTCTTCTTCATCATCATCAGCATCAACATCGTCGTCGTCACCATGACCCTCGCCGTCGCCATCGCCACTGCCAACACCCTTTTCCTCGTCCCCCGCCCCCTCCCCCTCCTCGACCCTCAGCCCCCTCCTTGACACTCAGCCCTCAGACCCCCCCCTCCCCCTCGACCCTCGCCCAGGGCATAAGCATCACCCTCATCATCGTCCTCATCCTGATAATCTTCCTCCTCATCATCATCAGCAGCATCAGCATCAGCATCAGCATCATCAGCAGCATCAGCATCAGCATCAGCATCAGCATCAGCATCAGCATCATCATCATCATCATCATCATCATCATCATCATCATCATCATCATCATCATCACCATCATCATCATGAGCAGCAGCAGCATCATCATCGTCATCAGCATCATCAGCATCATCATCATCGTCGTCACCGTGACCCTCGCCGTCGCCATCGCCACCGCCATCACCCCCCCCTCGTCCCCCGCCCCCCTCCCCCTCCTCGACCCTCAGCCCTCGACCCTCGTCCAGGGCAGGGCTCCGCGCCCCACCCCCTCCTCGACCCTCCCCCTCCTCGACCCTTAACCCTCAACCCTCCCCCTCCCCCTCGACCCTCGTCCAGGGCAGGGCTCCGCGCCCCACCACCGCGCGCCCACAGGGCACACCGCGGCCGCCGACGCGGCCGGGCCGCTGCAGGTGGGCGCCGATTGGGCCGCCGAGGCCCCGCCGAGGGCCGCCGAGGCCCCGCAGCAGGCCGCGGGTGCACCGCCGAGGGCCGCCGCCGGAGGCCGGCGCGCGCGCGGCCGCGGCGCGGGCGCGGAGGGCGCGGGCCTCGGGCAGCCCCACCGCCCACGCCGGCGTGCCGGGCATGGGCCTCGCGCGCGCGGGTCGGGTGCGCTGTCGGGGGAGCTCCGGCAGGCGGGCTGGTCCGGAGTGGAGTGGAGTGGACGCCATCACGATGTGATATTCTGAAACCGAAACTGCCGCCACTCAGAGGACGAAGAACAGGTGGAAGATGTAGAGGAGGACATAATTCCCCATCACCAGAGCTTTCACACAGGACCACGACTGGCAGCAGTAGCATAAAGTTACCGTGGTTGGAAACAACACGGCCCATTCGGAGAGCAACGGGTTAAGCTGGTATGAATTCAATCCAAGAAGGCCCTGCCCGAGCATGAAAGCGCGGAGCATAATTCCAAGCAGCCACCACCTCGAGCATTGTCAGGCAACCCCACCCATCTCGAAAGAATAGGGATTATCTCCTCCACAGCCAGCCTCGCCCCAGCGAACAGAAACGCGCCTCACAGTACAATAAAATAATCACCGAAAGTGCGAAAATCCACAGCTGCGATGGGGATTTTAAGTGAGCTCGAAGCCCGCGGCACCCCAAATACTGTAAAAGAGGAATATAAGTGGGCTCGCAGCCCGCGGCACCCCATGCACCATAGAACACAGTTGATGAACGAATTCAAAAAAAGGTGCAGCAGCCCGAGGAACCAGTCGAAAACCGATTGGACCCGACCTAGCACCTGCACGAACAAGGAGAACGAGTACATGAAATTGAATTAGACCCCGCTTCGTCAACCCTGCTTGAATGCCGGTAGACCAGATTCAACGCGAAGGTGTCCCTCAAGCGCCGCGAGGAGGCGGGAGGCAGAGGAGCGGTGCTACATCCGAGAGCCCAAAGAGGTTGCTACGGCGCGCCGCTCCCCTGTGCTTGAGGGCGGGCTGGTCCGGAGGAGGAGGAGGAGGAGGAGGAGGAGGAGGAGGAGGAGGAGGAGGAGGAGGAGGGGGAGGAGGAGGAGGAGGGGAGGAGGAGGAGGAGGAGGAGGGAGGAGGAGGAGGAGAGAAGAGGAGGAGGAGGAGGAGGAGGAGGAGGAGGAGGACAGGGGCGACCGTGCCGAATGAGTTCGTGGCACGGCGCGGCAGCGAGCTATAGAGACCAATGGCGGCCTTCCCTGCTGCCAGAATTGTGTCGTGAAATCTGGATGTGTTGGGAACGCTCCCTCGCACATCATACTATGGCTTGATTTTGTGATGCATGTGAAACGCCAAGACATTAATCTGATGCGGAAGGGCACGGTGATGCTCCCGCTCCGGATCCGGCTCCATGCCCAGCTCGAATGGGGGAGGCGGGCAAGCGGCCACAAGGGAGCGCAAGCACGTGAAGCAAACGGGGGGACGAAATGTAGTAGCTAAACTCATCACGCACTGGGTGCGCGCGTCCGAACAGACAGGGCCTCTGAGCCATGGCTGGGAGCCGAGCTGAGGTGGTCCAGGCGCTGGCCAACGTCTCAAGGAGGTGGGCCCATGCCCAGGAGGGCAGACTCCTCGCCAGAATCCTACGCAGCGCGGCCCGTCGCTGCCGAATCGCATCGCCGGGGAGTTGGGGGATAGGAAGGAGCCAGGATGACATGCGACGACGAAGGAGGGAGGGCATGAAATCAGGAAGCACGGATATGCAGGAGCCAGGATGGAATGCGACGACGAGGGAGGGAGGGCATGAAAGCTGGAAGCACAGGAAAAGCCGGAGCCACCGAGCTCCGCACTCGCTGTCTGGCGGGGGCGGCGGTCGTCCCGTCGGGCGGCAGAGCTCTCCACGCTGACCGCGGCCGCGCTCTCTCTTGCCAGGCGCGTTGGGAGCTAGGAGGAGGAGGAGGAGGAGGAGGAGGGGGAGGAGGAGGAGGAGGAGGAGGAGGAGGCGGAGGAGGAAGAGGAGGAGGAGGAAGAGGAGGAGGAGGAGGAGAAAGCGAGGCAATTGTTTTGTTCCACCGCACCCATTGGATGAAGGCTCAAACTCGAAACAGGAGGCCAAATCTAAAAAAAACGCCGGCCGGGTCAACGTCACCCCAAACGGGCTCAGGTCAGATTCCCCCCCCCCGGTCAGTGTTTTAGGAATTCCAGTGGTGCATCCCTGTCGCCTCAGAAAGCGAAGCAAAGTATTCGGCTATGCTGGACACGATTCCTCCACCACTCAGGCGAGAGGGCACTTCGGAGGGGAGCCACGGGGTGCCCATGCACTGAAGCATGTTCTCGCGGCTGCGCTGAAGCGGCCCTCCATCCCCCCACCGACCCCGCCATCAAAGTGTGGTATGCTGTCTACCATGCCGCTGCAGCGGCGGTCGTGCAGAGCGGGGAGGGGGTGGCAGAGGGAAGCCAGCTTCCGATGTTCAAGCATTCAGCTAACACGAATGAGTTCGGGGGGGGGGGACGCAGGAGGCGGTGGAGGACGTGGCGCTCAGCAGAGAGCACAGCAGCAGGGAGGAGGAATTGGGATAGATAGTGGCACACTAGCAGAGCCCCCATGTTGTAGATCATACGATCATACAACAAGCCTCCGCGGAGGCCCTGGTGTGGGACGTTTCCATGGTCCTGCTCTTCCACTTTTGCACCGCCTGGGTCCACTGATGTTCCAGACCAGCCTCCGGGCCGACCAGTCCCCACATAAGAAGCGCATCCAACAATCTTGAACGCACCCCACACCAGGACCAACACCTGGAGAAGCTGGCGCATCTGTCGGCACTAGCTTCTGTGAAACGCTGCCCCACTGGAACTAAACGCACACTTGGTTGGCAGGCTGAAGCTCCAGTGTGGCGACTTTTTTACAGCCGAGGCGAAAGGTGGAAGCACAAGGGGGAGGTTATCAACGGAGGGGAGAGTAGAACCCGCGTCGTCGGCGCCCTCGCCGTTGAGCGGCGGCGCGCTTGGGAGGCGCCAGATCTGGGCCCCTCTGAAAAAACGATCCTCGTCGTATACTTCCGACGTCCTGACGTTTTCAATGGTTACGTGGCCCCTGGAACTCTCGACTCCTGCCCCATGCCAGGACAATTTTCTCGTCCTGGGTCGTCTATTGAAAGCCGCGGGGCCCGCAAACGGACCCCAGAAGCAGACCATTGCCCCGAGTAACCTCCGGCGGCTTGACTCTTCAAGGACCGGAGAACGGAAGATCCACCCTCATACCAAGCACCCCAACAAGCGAAGCCGTTCAGTAAACCCACCCAAGGAAGGAATCGAACAGGGGAGGGCCGTTTGGTAAACGCCCAGGGCCGCTTAGCAAATGCCAGCTGCCGTCGTCGGGGTGGTTTGTCCCTCCTCGAAGGACGGAGGTGTGGGCCGCCGTCGCCGAGGGGTCGGGGCAGCAGAGCCCGCCGTCCCCATGGCTACAGGCCGCCGCGGCCCCCGCAGGCCCTCGATCCCCGTTGCCGCCGAGACTGCGACTGCGACACCATGGCCAGACGAGCAGACCACCGAAGCGAGCCAGAGCGGGCGCAGCTCAAATCCGACCCTCGACCCCCGCCGCCGCCGAGACGAACTGCGACTGCGACGTCAGGTCCAGAAGGGCAGCAGAACACCGAAGCGAGCCGGAGTGGACACAGCTCAAGTGAGCCCGACCACATGAGGGAAATTGAAAAGCAGAGAAAGAGAGAGAGAGAGAGAGAACAAAAAAAAGAGGGAGACAGAGGCGAGAGAAGCTTGACATGCCTCTCGCTCCCTCTGGGAGGCAGGAGCCCCCCGTCGGCCGTCGGCCGTCGCCGTACCGCCGTCGCTCCGAGGCCGCCTGCGCCCGCGCACGCCGCCCGGGCGCGGCGGGGCGGCGCTCGGCCCCATGCCCGCCGGGCGCGGCGCCCCCTTGCGCTGCGGCGGCCCGCGCTCGGCCCGTCCTCCGCGTCGTCGCCACCTGCCTGCGTCGCCACCGCCCATCCTCCGCCGCGCCCGTCCTCCGCCGCCTCTGGGGCCACACGCCGTCGTCGCCGCCGCCGTCGTCGAGGTTCCGTTCGAGCTTCGGGGTCCTCTGCCCCTGCCGTCCTCCGCCCCCGCCGTCGTCGCCACTTGCCGTTGTCACCACTTGCCGTCGTCGCCACAGCCCGTCCTCCGCCGCTTCCCCTGGGGGCCATCAGCCGTCGTCGCCACCGCCGTCGAAATTCGAGGCTCGGGGTTCGGAGTGCGTGAAATCTTTCGGCATAGGCCGCCTCGTCGGGACTGCGTCCGGCGCCCCCACTGGCGCCCCTGGGCCCCCGCCAGGGAAGGGGCCGTGAGCTATTGGGGACAGGGTCTCGAAAACATCCTCTGCCACCCAGGAAAAGAAAATCCGTGACGCAATGGGCTGTAGGTAACCAGCGCGGGCTGGGGACTCGAACGCCGCCCTCTTTGAACATCAATGAGCAACCATGAGCCAGCAGTCATCACTCAACAATCATCCTAATCGTCGCCATTTTCAAGGTAAGACTGTGATTGCCACATAAGCCCCAAGGACCTCATCATCAACTGCATCATCGTCACCACCATCGTCAACACCACCACCATCACCATCAACATCGCCATCACCACCACCAAACTCATCATCACCTTTACCGTCACCACAATCCCCGTCGTCATCATCATCATCGCCGTCGATTGTTCCATCAGGGCCTGTCTTGCCGTGGACAGGTCGCTCCTGTCTCATCCGCCGGTGTTGCGGCACGCGGCGGGGTGCAGCAACACTCGCCGCAGTGCGTTGCGAGGTCCATGCAAGTGCTGGACACCAGCGTGGTCGGTTCCGCGCCTGTGCCCACATAGACGGTGATTGTCTTTGGACACCCACGCGATTTAAAATCATCATCCTCACGCACCTGATCCGGACTCGCCCACGCTCACGTCCACCTAATTACATGTTCCCCTTGGGCCGAAGGTGTCCCTCGTACGCTGGCGGCACCGGCAGCAGGCACTCCATGGCCTCGGCCGATCCATCTATTGCCACTGCCTCCTCACCCCCTTCGGCTCGCATGTGGTGTTCAAGTCTGGCCCCGCTCGTGGCGGCTCCCACTTGCGGCAGTGGGCGGCCCACTTCAGGCAGCGGCTCCCACGGAACCGGTTCCGACGGCGGTGGTTCCCACAACGGCGGCTCCCACGGCGGCGGCGCTCCCACGGCGGCGGTTCCCAAGGAGGCGGCTGCCAGCTCCCATGGCGGCGGCTCCCATTGAGCAGCTCCCACGGCGGCGGCTCCCACGGAAACGTTTCCCACGGCGGCGGCTCCCACGCGGCGGCTCCCACGGGTGTGGCTCCCGTGGTGGCGGTTCCCACGGTCCCCACGGCGGGCTCCCACCTCGGCGACTCCTCAAGGCGAGCCCCCCCTAGTTACCACTGAGATGGCTCCCATGGTGGCGGTTCCCATTGAGCAGCTGCCACGGCGGCGGTTCCCACAGACGCGGGTCCTACGGCGGCGGCTCCCACGGCGGCGGCTCCTCAGGCGGCTCACACGGCTGCTCCCACGGCGGCAGTTCCCACGGAGGCAGTTCCCAAGGCGGCGTTTCCCACGGCGGCTCCCAAGGCGGCGGTTCCCACCTTTGGGCGATGGCGACCATGGGTTATCATCGTTTCAGTCCCTCTGGGCCGGTAGTGCCTTGGACAGTTCGCTCCTATCTCATTCGCAGGTGCTGCTGCACGCGGCGGGGTGCAGCAACACTCGCCGCGGTGCACTGCGAGGTCCATGCTGGTGCTGGACACCAGCGTGGTCGGCTCCGCGCCTGTGCCCACGCAGACGCTGATTGTCCTTCGACACCCACGCGACCATACATCATCAAGATCATCATCATCATCATCATCATCATCATCATCATCATCATCATCATCATCATCATCATCATCATCATCATCATCATCATCATCATCATCGTCATCGTCTTCGTCATCGTCATCGTCATCGTCATCGTCATCGTCATCGTCATCGTCATCATCATCATCATCATCATCATCAGCAGCAGCAGCAGCAGCATCATCCTCATCCTCCTCATCCTCCTCGTCATCCTCATCATCCTCATCATCATCATCATGATCATCACCATCATCATCATCATCATCATCTTAATCATCAGCATCATCATCAGCATCAGCAACATCATCTTCATCATCATCCGAATCACCACCACCATCATCAGCAGCAGCACCATCACCACCATCATTAGCAGCAGCAGCAGCATCAGCATTAGCATCAGCATCAGCATCATCAGCATACTACTAATCATCAACAGCCGCAACATCATCATCAGCAGCAGCAGCTTCATTATCATCAGCATCATCATCAGCATCGTCGTCGTCACCATGATCATCAGCAGCAGCATCAACATCAGTATCATCAGCAGCAACACCATCATCATCGCCATCGTCACCGTCGTAGTCTTCGACATCGCCATCGTCATCATACAAACCATCCTCATCATCATCATCATCATCATCATCATCATCATCATCATCATCATCATCATCATCATCATCATCATCATCGGCAACAGCAGAAGCAGCAGCAACATCAGCATCAGCATCATCAGCAGCAGCAGAAGCAGCATCATCATTATCATCACCATCACCCCTACCACCACCATCATCATCAACGTCGTCATAGTCCTCGTCATCGTAGGCGTCACCTTCAAAATCCATCCACCGATGCGCATCATCTGCGTCTTCCTCGTCCACATGCTTATCGTACTGAACATCGGAGTTGTCATGAGGGGGGGGCTCCAGTGCTGACAGCGACATGATCAAGGCGAACGAAAGGATAATAAGGACAAGACCACCCCCTCCCATTATTCTCCCACTACTGGCGGATACGAGCTCAGGGCGGACTATCTCCCTGTGCCAGCCCGATGCATCCCCACGTCCAGGAGCGAGCAAGGATGCCTTCCCGAGGAGGAGGAGAAGGAGCAAGGAGGAAGGAGGAGAGGAGAGGGGGAAGGGGGAGGGGCGGAGAGAGGGAGATCTCTGGAGGCCGGAGGATTCCCGAAGCCCCTTGGAGGCCCAGGAGAAGCCAAGCGCGTCAGCATTCGAAGACATCCGGAGGCGTCGGCCTGCCCTCGTCATGATAGCTCGCAGTGGACGAAGGGGGGGGGTAAAAGGAAGGGCAGCCTCCGACAGCGGGCACCCAGTCATGCCCCCACCGTAAAAAAAAGGGCGGGAGGTGTCTCGCCAGTTTGGCCTCGTGGGGCCCTTACCTGGCCTCAGGACCGTCAAAAAGCGAATCAAGACAAACAAACAAAAACAAATAAACCAAAAAAAATCCCGGCAAAGCAACCTAACAGCGATGTGTAGGAACATATCTGGAAGCATTCCCCTTACGATTCAGATGAGAATCCAGTTGTAGAATTCTGCTGTTCTCGCAGTCGTAGTCGCATTCGCGATGACAGTCGCAGTGGCAACGGCAGTCGCAGTCACAGCCTCAGCCTCAGCCTGCCTCAGCCTCAGCCTGCCTCAGCCTCAGCCTCAGCCTCAGCCTCAGCCTCAGCCTGCTTCAGCCTCAGCCTCAGTCTGCCTTCAGCCTCGGCCTCAGCCTCAGCCTGCCTCAGCCTCAGCCTGCATCAGCCTCAGCCTCAGCCTCAGCCTGCCTCAGCCTCAGCCTGCCTCAGCCTCAGCCTCAGCTTGCCTCAGCCTCAGCCTCAGTGTGCTTCAGCCTCAGCCTCAGTCTGTCTTCAGCCTCGGCCTCAGCCTCAGCCTGTCTCAGCCTCAGCCTGCCTCGGCTGCAGCATCAGTTTGCTTCAGCATTGAAAATGTGGCCCAGGAGTGCAGTTCTGGGAACTAGAAGAACACGAAGTGGCCTACAGTTGGCTCCGGGCATTCAAAATCATGCCCACGAATGGAGTTCTGGGAACACGAAGAGCACGAAGTGGCCTACAGTTGGCTCCGGGCATTCAAAATGTGGCCCGGGAATGGTGTTCTGGGAAATCTAAGAGCACGAAGTGGCCTACAGTTGGCTCCGGGCATCCAAAATGTGGACCGGGAATGGAGTTCTGGGAGGTCGAAGAGCACGAAATGTGCGACTGTTTGCTTAAAACGAGTCCGGCCCTCGCCTGTCCGGCTCCCGCCCAGACCCCCCTGGGGAGTATCAGATGCTCTCTTTTGACCCCATTAGAAACCTATCAGTCTTCGCTGTTATGTTAGGAGAAAAAAAAAAAAAAAAAAAAAAAAAAAAAAAAAAAAAAAAAAAAAAAAAAAAAAAAAAAAAAAAAAAAAAAAAAAAAAACAAAAAACAAAAAAAAAAAAAAAAAAAAAAAAAAAAACGGTCCAGGGGAAAAGGTCGGGACTTCTGGGGACCCCGCAGTTACAAAATCACGACGTCGCATGTCTGGGTATCATCAGCCGGCGCGGAGGAGCGAGGCGGGAAAAGTGAGAAGGCGAGGGCCTTCTCGGAAGGCGGCGGGGCTTCTCAGGAGCGGCCTGCTGAGAGGCTTCTGTCTTCGCGGGAGTCCTAGAATACTTCTCAGAAGGCCCGAGGCCTTCCGAGCCTTCTGAGGAGGCCCCCCCCTTCTCACTCCCCCCCGAACTGACCGCCGAATCAGGCCCAAGGAGCATCAACAAACATCGTGTGAGGCGAAGCACTTCCCCTGGGGAACGGGTCGAGACCTCTGGAGCCCGCGGGCTGAGCATCGTAAGATGTCAGGTTTTGTCGGATGTTGCCCCATGTGTTCCTGGCCCAAGGTTTCCCCGGCTGTCAGCGCTGTTTTGGGCCCCGCGGGGCCCTCTGGGCCTTTTGAGGTGTGCTCTGGAGGCCACCTGTCGGGGGCGGCCAAGAGGGGGGTGTCCAAGAGGGGGGGGTGCAAATCATGACCGGCGGCATGTGCGCGGCCCAGCGGGGGGGCCAGGGACGTAATGAAATAAGAAGGGGCGCCATGAAATCTGGGGAAATATCATGCCCCCCGCCATGATATCCACCCCCCCCTGGTCATCACCCCCCTCTTTTCCGCCCCCGAACCTGGGACTCACCGTAGAGGCTGGGACCAGCTCGGGCTGGGGCCACCTCTTCCAGCACCCGACCTCGCCTCGACCCTCGGCAGCCCTCCCCGGTTTTCTCTCCGCTCCGCGGCCGCGGGCACGCGCGGGGAGGCACGGCGGAGGGTGCAGGTGCCGCCGCCCGGGCCCGCTCGAAGGGGGGGGGGCTACAGGAACGCCCGGCTGGGGGAGCTGGAAAAGCGGAGCTGGGGGAGGGAACATTCCTTTTGGAGGCCTGGAAATTGGCACCAACACCAACACAGGGGGCTGCCTCCACAGGGGGAAGATGGTCCTAGATTTTCGGTGTTGGTGGTAATAGTTCGGCCACGTTGGAAGCCAGAATATTACCTCGGTGGAGGCACACCGCCGAAATTGGTGTTGGTGTCAATCTCTAGGGTCGTCATTTTCACGA